TACTATTTCATGATTGAAAACTTCAAAGAATAGATTTGAAACCATAGAATAAAATATGTAAATTCAGAACTAGATACTGCTATTCTAGATTGATAAGTAAATTAAGGCAACACTCTTTGAGAAGAAAGTCAAGTTATAGAGTTAGCTATCATATTTTAAAAGACATGTGGAAAGCCAAGTTTTCCTAAAGCCACAAATCATCAAGGATAACCACCCTGGTCCTTGATTGGAATGGGGGAAGTGATGGTGCCTAGTGTTTGAGGAATAGTGGCCTCAGACCTAGCTGAAAGGAAGACAGCTCAGCAAAGATTCAGTATTGTATTCAGCCAACACAGAGGTGATAATTGGGGATCACTGAAAGAGGGGAGCTCTCCCTTCAACTGTTGTGTTCTTCACATCCCACTGTCAGTCAGGGCAGGTGCCACCTTCTGCCTTCCCACTCAGGGTGTTCTCCACAATGGACTTGTTTCCATTTTCCTTGTATCAAATAGAGCCTCTGAAGTAAGACAACGTCCAACTGTGACATTTTATGATCTTCCAAAATACCTTGTAAGAATTCTTCTTAATGAAAATATAACTTAGATTTCATGTCTTGTTGATTGCTAGAATTGTTCTTTCTTTGGGAGAAATTAGGTACTTCAGTTCTCTTAGTTTTCACTGAATTATTTTCCTCCCGACAAAAATAGCACAGACTTGATTGGGACATACTCCAGTAGGCATGAGCCCTGGCTCCTAGCTCCCAGCATTAGGCAGCTGTGACTTCTTCAATGAAAAGTGGGGGAAGGGAGGGGTTTTGTGCTCCAGAGGCCTCAGAATAGTAACTGCAGGGATAGGAGTAAACTTTGCTGTAATTCTTCTCCAGGGAGAAAGGGGCTCCCAGTCTCGGGAAATGAGCAAGGATGCTCCTTACTGCCTTCCTTACCAGCCATTGCTGTGCCTGTCATGCTCGTGGAGGGTTGTCCTCTGTCTGACTGTGTTTTTCAGATCATATGGTGTTTGTTTTCATTACCTGGTGATGCCTATTCAATACTTAAATACTAGGACTTGCGCCAGCCCAGGAGTCAATTCTTTGACTTCAAAGCTGAGCATCTTCAGTTTAGCCAAATTCTCTATTAATGCACAAGTAATCTAACACCCGGTAGTTAAAGTGCTGGGGCTTGTTAGAAACGCAAGATGTGAGCCTCACCCCAGACTTACTTAATCAGAAATCTCATTTTAATAATTTCTAATGATCTAATTGCATGTAAAAATAACATGAGGGTTACCAACAGGAATACATCGCCAAATGTTGGTTTTTGTATGTTACTTATATAATATTTTAAAATTTATGATTACAAATTTTAAAATAGATTTCCCTTTTAATTCTGAATTAAGCCTTGTCTTAAGCAAATGTATTGATATGATTATGATCTTAATGTGTAGCTTTGTAGTACATTAAAGTTCACGTATGATTACTAAAATAAAAATGTTTCCTATCTACCAGAGTTGTCTCACAAACCACATGATTCAAGGTATCCAGGAGATTATCATTTTGAATATCAGAATTAATCCAGCTCCTATCATAGATTATGGAGAAGAAAAACAAGAACTTTAGATATTTGTGATACCAAAGTTAAGAGAATATGGTCCATGCACAAAGCATTTCCCGATGGCTGCTTGCTTTTTGTTGACCTTCTCCCTTTCAGATTGGAGAAAATTTGCTTGCAGCTTCTTCTGTTTATTGGCAGGTTGCTGCTAAAAACAAACTGTCAGTGACCTCAATGTTCAGTTAGAGAGTTCTCCTGCCTCTCAGTCTTTAGTGGGTCCTTACCACTTGACAGCTGTTGACACAAGCAAAACTCTTTAGCATATTTCCAATTTTCCATTTCAGCAGTGTATCTCATCAAACTAGAACATAGAAAATTATATGTCCATAGTCTCTTGTAGAACGATTAGAACATGTTAGTTCCATTGGCCAGTCAAATGTGCTAGACTTGGAGTATTCAGAGAGAAGGTTCAGAGTGCTTGCTGTTCTTCCAGGACACCTGAGTTCAACTACTAGTACTCACCCCAGGCAATTTATCATTGCCTAAAACACCAGGTCCAGGGGATACAACACTTTCTTCTGGCCTCTGAGGGCACCTACTCACGTGGTATATACCCATACATACACATACACATTCACATAAATAAAAATAAATTCCTTTGTTGTTAAGATGCTTTGGGAGCCCATTCCCTATGGAGGGATACTATTGCCACCCAGATACAGCAAGGAGGGTCTAGAACCTCCCCCAAACAATATGACAGACTTTGAAGGTCCTTGGTAGAGTGCCTCACTATCCCTGGAGAGGAGTGGGGTGGGGGTTGGGTGGGGAACATGGGAGGAGGGGAGGCCAAGGGAATTGGGGGGATGGATATATAAATATGAGTAATTAAAAATAAAAAAAGATGAGCTTGGAGATGAGCAGCCATCAGGTTAGAGGAGGCTTCTAACCATAAGGACAGTAATTCAACAGAAATGGTTCGACAGCAACAGTTTCTAGTATTAGTCATAACAGAGCTAAATGCTGAGCTGTGGTTGTAGCAGAATTTAGCCAGAGAAGCTCCATATACTGTTGTACAATATTCCAGGCAGCAAAGCTTGAGTCTCCTTCTACTGGATTCTTGTGAGTTGCCTATGAGCTGTTTACTGTCCCTGAAGAAATTCCTTTCTATTCTAAACTACCCAGGGTGGATTCTAATCAGAAACAACTTTGGCTACTATATCCTAATAGCCTATTGTTCTACTGAGACATTCCATACAAGCTATTTTGATGGTCAAAATCATTGTCAGAACTTTCCCAGCAATAAAACTGAATGATAAATTATGTATCACAATTTTTATCATATTGGTTCTAATCAGAGTCTATATAATGCTTGCAATTTCATCAGTGTTCATTATTCATTTATTAACAACCAAATTTTAGGTGCTTAACATTTTACAGTAACTATTTTGAGTTAGATATACACAAATTACATGAGTTTTGGATCTTTTAAGTCTATAATTACAAGGCAGACAGGATATTGCTTATGGAAATAATCACTCATTTTGTTAAGACAAATTCTGTTTTGGAGTAGGCAGAAACTGAACATCCAACAGTTTCAGTTAATAATAATTCTGGAACCTACAAATGACTCCACTAAATTTCACTGTGTACATGGGTTTGCTAATGAATCAGATCATATTTGAAAGGCATAATTTATGTGTAAGTTAAACATAGCCCTAAAGTACATAACAGTTAAGACTTGGAAAATCTTTCCTAGTACATTAACAACAAATATGGGGACTGACCAGAGGAACCACAGTAAGCACATTCCCTAGGAGTTGGCAGCTATCCAGTCTAGAGTGTAGTGCTTCATACATTTTATTTCATTTTCAGTTTTGCAGTAGCCATTACAAGAAATTGTATTCACCTTCTGATGAGCTCAGTTATACTAATGAAATACATGGCAAAGAGGAAATCCAGACTTCGGACTGTTAGACTGTGGAAGAAGTACCTCTTGAGTGAGCACTAGGGTTGTAGTGTACATAGATAGCATCAGCAACAAAGGCTAAAATAGTACAGCTCTAAAATAGAAAAGCATCTCCGTATTTAATGGTCACAGTCTCTCAGTGTTCTTTGCCATTTTTACTGGGTGGTAGAATTGCTATTTGAAAAGGTCTATAGATACACTCAAGATCTTAAATTTGGGTTTTACTGGCCCCAGCCTAATTTTACAGGCCCAATATCTTTTTACTGAGTCTTGGGTTGAGTACCTTGAGGACTTCGGATACACTAAAATATCAACCACTAATCAAATAAGTGGCATAAATTTAAAGATCAACAGACTTCATGGAGGCAATCATCAGTTTCAAAGAAAGGGTGTTTAAATAAAATACTGTAGAGAATTCTGAAATAGCACAAAGTTTCAGATAACCTTGTACATAACTGACCACAGAACAGAGTTGCAATAGGATCAACAGAAATTTTTCTCTTATTTCTGGACTTGAAATGTGATGTTTCACTGATTCTTTTATACATTGCAAAGCTCAGAGGTGTTAATACTACAAAAAATACTCATAGTTTATGGAATCTATCATTGTCAAGGATCATTCAGAAAACCTAGGTCAATCCAACCTCTATCTTATTTGTTGGGGGAGTTCATCAAGGTAACCTAAACTCTCTGAGCTATTGTTTCCTAAAGAATACAGGAATAAATAATGGAAGGCTCTGAGAGGGTTTTATAAGATAATTACACACAACACTTAGCAGAGAACCTGGTGGGATTAATGATTATGAAATATATTTGAATCATTTCTGAAGAATCAGGAGAACAGAATAATAGTTCACTCATATTATATGCAAAAGTCTAAGACTATCTACAGTTATTTATTATCATAATACTTATTGAACACATTATATGGCATCAGTGACTATAACATATATGGTTTTTATAAATTGTAAATCATTCAAACCATTGAAAGTAGCTAAATCCAGGACTGGAGAGATGGCTCAGTGGATAAGAGCACTTATTGTTTTTGAAGAGGACCTGGGTTTATTTCCCACTTAGGTCAGAACTGCTTGTAACTTCAGTTCCAGGGGTTCCAACACCTCTTGTCTTAGAGAGCACCTGCCTCTGGATAGTGCACAAAAGCTCACACAGGAACTAACACACACATAAATAAAATTTTTGAAAGAAGCTACATCCTCCCTCCCAACACAGAAATAATATTATATCCAATAAGTTTTCAAACAAATAAGCAAGTACCTATGTGGCCTTTGAATGACAAATGCCTCCTGTGGTCTCCAGTACTTGAACACTAGCTCTCCAATTGGTGGTTTTAAAAGGTGCAGCCTTGCTAGAGAAAGGAAGACACTGAAGGCTCACTGGGGTCCTGGGGTGTATGTGTGCTGATTGCTTTCCCTCTGGGCCCCACTGACTGATTGCTTCCTTGTAGAGCAGAGAGGATCAAAGCTTTCTTGGATTCAAAAATGACCTACCTTGGTAGTTGTGGCAGCTCCACCAGCATGGGCTCTGGAAGGCTGACTACTCCCCAAAATTGCTGCTTTTTTCTGGAAACAGAAAATATTAACTTCAGTGGGAGGGAATACCTTAACAGTGTGCAAATTATCATACTGCTATAGACACTTTAGTAAACAATAGTCAGATTAGTACACTAAACACACACACACACACACACACACACACACACACACACACACACACAGTAAAGGATCATTTGTAATTTTCATAATGTTTCCTGAAGAGTTTATAAATAATTCAAAGGAAAGCAAGTTTCATGAAAGTCTTCGCCTGAGCAATTATCATATGAACTAAAGCCCTTCTAAAATCTTACTCCCTGTGTAGTAGATACCTCCTTTTTTATGGATCAACAGAGCCCGAGTAATAGAGGATAATTTATGAATAGATCTTAATGATATAATTATACTTAGAAAACATTGTCTTCGAAAAATAAAAACAAGAACTTTTCTATTAAAAGGTGAACATTTATGCCCCAAATACAAGGGCATCCACTTTTGTAAAAGAAACATTACTAAAACATAATCATTCACCAAACCACACACTCTAATAATGGGAGACTTCAACACCCCACTCTCACCACTGGACAGGTATACCAGACAGAAACATAATAGAGAAATAAAGGAACTAACAGATATTATGACTCAAATGGGATTAACAGATATCTATGGAATATTCCACCCAAACACAAAAGAATATACCTGCTTCTCAGCACCTCATGGAACCATCTCTAAAATGAACCACATACTCAGTAACAAAGCAAACCCCAACAGATAGAAAAAATTCAAATAACCTTCCTATATCTTATTAGAACTTAAAGTTACCATGACTTAAAGTTAGAATTCAATAACATTACTAATTGTAGAAAGCCCACAAACTCATGGAAATTGAACAATGCTCAACTGAATTGGTTAAGAAATAAATAAAGAAATTAAAGATTTCCTAAAATTCAATGAAAATGACTGCACAATCCAGCCAAACTATGGGACACAATGAAAGCAGTGCTAAGAGGAAAGTTCATAGCACTAAGTGCCCACATAAAGAAGCTGGAAAAATCTCACACTAGGAAATTAACAGAACCACTGAAAACTCTAGAACAAAAGGAAGCAAACTCACCCAGGAGGAGTAGAGGGCTGGAAGTAATCAAATTAAGAGCAGAAATCAATAAAATAGAAACAAAGAAAACAATACAAAGAATCAATGAGACAAAAAGTTGGTTCTTCAAGAAAATCAACAAGATGAATAAACCTGTATCCAAACTAACCAAAAGGCAGAGAGAAAATACTGAAATTAACAAAATTGAAATGAAAAGGGGGACCTAACAACAGACACTGAGGATATCCAGAGAATCATCAGATCATAGTTCAAAAACCTGTACTCCACAAAATTGGAAAATTTAAAGGAAATGAACAATTTTTGGGATAAGCACCACATACCAAAATTAAATCAAGACCAGATAAACAAAGTAATTAGACCTATAGCCCCTAAGAAAATAGAAACACTTGTCAAAAGTCTCCCAACCATAAAAAGTACAGGACCAGGTGATTTTAGTAAAGAATTCCTCCAGAATTTTAAAGAAGAGGTAATGCCAATATTTCTCAAATTTTTCCACAAAATAGAAACAGAAGGAACATTGCCAAACTGTTTTTGCCAGCCTATAGTTACTGTGGTGATATGTTATTCATGATTTATTAAAGCTTCCCTGAGGATTCAGAAGGCAAAGTTAGCCAAAAGCTATAGAGGTCAGGCAGTGGGATACACACCTTTAGTCCTAGCATCCATACCAGCTAAAGCCAGGCACTGGTGGCGCACACCTTTAATCTCAGAATTTAGGATTAAGAGGTAAACAGATCTCTGTTAGTTCAATGCCACACTGACTGTACAAAATTGAACCAGTCCTAAAAGGAACAGCTCGCAAAAAGATGATCTCAGCACCTGGGATTACATGCCCTTAATCCCAGCACTAGGGAGGTAGAGACAGGAGTGATATGGCTGGGCAGAGAAAGAAATAAAAAGCAGGAGGAGAGAGGAGCTCTCCTCTCCTTTTGCCCCTGAGGATTCGTGGAGACAGCATTGCCATTTCAGCTGGGTAAAGGCAAGATCTACTAGTTTGGCTGCTTTGCTTCTCTGATCTTCAGCTTGAAGCTTCAACCCCAATATCTGTCTCTGGGTCTTTTATTTTTCCTGCTCCAAGTAAACCTGATATCCAAACCACACAAAGACACAACTAAGAAAGAGAAGTACACACCAATCTATCTTATGAACATTGATACAAAAATAACAAAATATTGGCAGATTCCAAGAACACATCAAATAATTCATTCATCATGATCAAGTAGGCTTCATCCTGGGGATGCAGGGATGGTTCAACATACAAAAATCCATCAATGCAATCTACTGTATAAACAAACTGAAAGAAGTAAACCACATGATAATCTCATTAGATGCTGAAAAGCCTTTGACAAAATCCAACACCCATTAATGATAAAGGTCTTGGAGAGATCAGGGATACAAGGAACATACTCAAATATAATAAAGGCACTATATACAATGAAACTAAATGGAGAGAAGCTTAAAGTGATTCCACTAAAATCAGCAACATGACAAGGTTGCCCACTCCCTCCATATCTATTAAATATAGTAATAGAAGCTCTAGTTATAGAAATAAGACAACAAAAGGAGATCAAGAGGATATAAATTGGAAAGGAAAAAGTCAAACTTTTGCTATTTGCTAATGATATGATAGTATACATAAGTGACCCCCAAAATTCTCCCAGAGAACTTTTACAACTGATAAACACCTCCAGCAGTGTGGCATGATACAAGATTAACTAAAAAGAATCAGTAGCCCTCCTATATACAAATGCTAAATGGGATGAGAAAGAAGTCACAGGAAACAACACCCTTCACAATAGGCACCATCAACATAAAATATCTTGTGGTAACTCTAACCAAACAAGTGAAAGACCTGTATGACAAAAACTTTAAGGTGTTGAAGAACAAAGTTAAAAAGGGTATTAGAAAATGGAAAGATCTCTCATGTTCTTGGATAGATAGTAAAAATGGCAACCTTACCAAAAGCAATCTATAGATTCAAAGCAATCCCCATCAAAATCCTACTACAATTCTTCAAAACCTCAAAAGAATAACACTCAACTTCATATAGAAAAACAAAACAAAACAAAACAAAAAAACCAGGATAGCAAAAAAGAATCCTGTACAATAAAGGTACTTCTGGATGCATCACCATTCCTTATTTCAAGCTGTATTCTAGAGTGACAGTAATTAAAACAGCTTGGTATTGGCATAAAAACAGACAGATGTACTAATGGAATTGAATTGAAGATGCTTATATTAATCTACATACCTATGAACATCTGATTTTTGACAAAGAAGCTAATATTACACATTGGAAAAAAGACAACATCTTCAACAAATAGTGCTGGCACAACTGGCGGTCAACATGTAGAAGAATGAAATTAGATGCATATTTATTCTCATGTACAAAACTCAAGTACAAATGGATCAAAGACCTCATCTTAAATCCAACCATACTGAACCTCATAGAAAAGAAAGTGGAAAGTAGCCTTGAAAGCATTGGCACAAAGACTAAATATATCACCTGTAGCACAGACACTGAGATTGACAATTAATAATTGGTACCTCTGAAACTGAGAAGCTTTCATAAGGCAAAGGACACTATCAAAAAGAGAAAACAGCAGCCTATGGAATGGGAAAAGATCTTCAAACCCACATCTTGCAGAGGGCTAATCTCCAAAATATACAAGGAATAAAAAAACAACAACAACAACAACAACAACAAAAAAAAAAAAAAACTAGACATCAAAATATCAAATAATCCAATTAGAAAGAGGCATGAGAAAAAGGGGCACCCATCTAAAAAAAGAATTCTCAACAGAAGAATCTCAAATGGCTGAAAAGCATCTAAGGAATTTCTCAACATTCTAATTATCAGGGAAATGAAAATCAAAACAACTCTGAGACACCATCTTATACCTATCAGAATGGCTAAGACCAAAAACACTGATGATAGCTGCTTATACTGGAGAGGATGTGGAGTAAGGGGAACTCTCCTCCTCCATTTCTGATGGAGTGCAAACTTGTACAGCCATTTTTGGAAATCAGTATGGTGGTTTCTCAGAAAATTGGTTATCAATTTACCTCCAGACCCAGCAATACCACTTTGGGGCATATACCCAAAGGATGGACACTCATACCACAAGGACATTTGCCCAATTATATTCATAGCAGCATTATTCATAACAGCCAGAACCTGGGGGCAACCTAGATGCTCCTCTACCAAAGAATGGTACATTTTCACAGTGGAATACTACTGTCCAAACTATTTGAGACAAGCTCTTCCCATGTAGCCTTGACTGCCCAGGAACCCTGCTATATAAATCTGTGTCAATCTTCCTACTTAGTCTGCCCCAGTGCTAAGATCACAGAAATGTGCTATTGGAACCCTTTTATTACAAATGGAAAAGATTTATCTGCCTCAAATTATCACTCATTTCCAGCCTACATCCTATTAATTATGCACCTTTCTTGTCTTTGCTTTGAAAATGGTATTGCATTAAACACACAGTCTTCTTTGTCTACAGATTCAACCAACCATAGATCAAGGATATTTGGGAGAAACTACAGACATATAAAACACATGTATGGCTTCCCCTTGTTATTTTCCCATAAAATATATTACAATAACTTTGTTTATGACATTTGCTTTTATTAGGCATTCTTAATATTCTAAAAGTGATACAGAATATGGAAAGACTTAGACTAAGAGAACATCCTATGTCACATTATGTATGGATGTATGCATCTATGGAGTTCATCACCTGTAGTTGGCCTTAGAATAAATCCTCCAAGAAAACAGAGAAATGGCAGCAATACAGAAAGAAACAGGTAAATGCACCAAGATGTAAAAGATGGCCACCTTTCTGGGTTTTAGGTTCTACAGATGTTGTTTTCCTCGTATGGTTTTTCCAATGATTATATTTTAGATGCATGACTCTTAAATCAGAGTACCTATAACGTAATATATTTAACGACTATGAATATATGACATTATCACAATAACTTAAAAACACACACAAAGTTATCAGTGAGTATTGAGACTGTGAGTGACATTACTTTTTCTAAGTATGTTTTGGTTCTCTGATATAAAAAGACTGACTTTATTAAAAGAAAAGTATCAGAAGCTTGAATCATTCCATAATTGATTTACACATGTTAGAAGAAGTAAGTAATGAGGAAGACAAGGCTATACAGGCTATTCAGGCAAGATAAACATAAAAACTACCTTTCCCCTTCAGGGCTACTTACAGAGCTCTTTCTTTACTTACAAAATACACCCATCACTAAATCTGAAGATTTTAAACTTGTCTCTAAAGACAATAAAATTTTCTTTTCCAGGACCCCACTAAAGTAAGTTTCTAAAAGGCTCCTACTCCCCCAGTGTGGTCAGATGTGTCACTCAAACACTTTAAATAGATTTGATTGCAAGTCTTGGGAGACTTCTTTGTTCCAATGTATTTAAAGATGCTGGTGTTAAATGTTTTTCTTTTTTCCTGGACTCTAGTTCTATTTTAGCCCATGCACTTTTGCTCTTAGAATTCTCCTAAGAAAATTTTGATGAATTCATAACAAATAATGCACACAAACTTTCACAGGTGCTTACTCAATTCCATCTTCAAGATTGCATTTGAAATGCAACATGATAAATCATGCTTTATATGCTTCATACTATTGGAACTGCTGTGGGCATCTGCAGACCACCTAGTGGCTGTACAGAAAACACATTCCAAAATAGTAAAGGCTACTGACAATACTTAAGGAGGAAGTTTTGAAACACAATATATCCGAGTTGTCACTTATTATTAAATATCATCTGTTCGTATAATATTACCCCCACCCACATGGCCCTCCTTTGGGCCTTGTCTCATGCCTCTAAAGAAAACGGAGGAAATAAAAAAAAAAGTCATCAAGACCTACCTCTACACGTGGAAGAGTAGTTTTCACACTGATTTTCTCCTGGAATTTCATGTTCCTGGGGATAATATAGTGTAGTGTTCTGGTTTGAAATGGATTACAAAAACCCAAAACTGTTTGGCTCGTCTGTGCTTGCTTACTTTGAAACAGGGCTTAGCTTTGTTAGTCAGATTGACTTTGTACTTAGGTTCCCTGTCCTCAGCCTTCCAAGGAGCAATGACAGTCCTTGTGACAGAAAGCTAGCTCAAACATTGTTAATCCTACCCCATTCTTTCAGGAGTAAAGAAAAGAAGTGATATAAATTTGGAAAAGAGAATCAGTTTCAAGAAGTCCTTCTCAAGTAGTTTTGGAAAGAAAAGATACAGTAACTGACCATGGATGGTAGGTACAAAAGCATTAGCCAGAAAACCATGAATACAAAAGCTGAAGTAGTGCCAAACATACAACTGCTTCTTGAACTATCCCCTGAGTCACAATATCTCATCATTTGCTATATGCAAATAAACCACTAGAGGCTTTGAGAGATATCATCTTGGAAACATCTTAGTTAAGTATCAATTTCCATGCTTGTCTTCTCTGGCCAAGGCAAGTAGTCAGAATTTGGTGAAAGCCCAGAGCTCATAGAATTCTTCCCATCAGAATGTGTTCTTGATTCATGGACTATCCTTTGCATATTTAAACTCTACTTATTTTTTGTCTAAAGTAATAATTTAAGTTATGGAGGAGGGGGAATACTTTATGTGTTCTGGCTGGAACATAGCAAAAGAGCCTCTACTCCAGGGGCAGGAGTTGTGAGAGTTAATACCCCAGCAATGATATAGAATAATGTCAGAACTGTTTTAATTGCTAGCAGACAAAACAGTTTTCCTCCCTTTTTATCTATACAATGACTTTACAGTTTAAATTCAAAGTGAAGCATGCCTTGTCAGAATCAAACCTTGGATTCCTTCCTACCAGCACCCCCCACAGGCTTCTGAATAGGCCTACCAAGCTTTATCATTCATTTTGCTGTACCAGAAAAGATTTCCTTTTTTGTGCATATAGTTTAATCTCTATATCGACTGAGACTAATATTTAAGAATGTATATCTTCCTTTGAAGAATAAAAAGCACTATCATTTCAAAGTTCTTGCAATTTGCTTACATAAAATTAATCTGATAGATAACTAATCTGGGAATGCATTTCAAGGGTAGTGGTGATAAAATGACTAAATGATGGCCAATACTTTCATGATATTGGGAATGGAAAAATGTTGAGTTTTCATATGGGAATTCATTATTTAGTGATTTTTAAAGGAAATGGAATGAAATCTAAATGGAAAAAAATCATTTACTTTTTATTTAAAAATTTGTGTTTCATAGAAACAATTATTTTCAACACAAAAGTATATGGTAAGAAACATTGTAAATCAAGGTGGATGGTTCACTTGCTGCAATGCTTGATCTCTCAGACCCACAGGGTGGGGCTGACTCTAGAAAGAATTTTCCTCTGACCTCCATAATTATATCCAAGACCTACACACACACACACACACACACACACACACACACACACAGATAAAATGTAATAATAAGAAATACTCTGAAGTACACTTTCAAGGATATTGGTAGAAGGCTGACAAGAAATCAGTACATGTCAAGTCCTAGCTCTAAACATATGCTTACATACTAAATGTTCCAGAACAACAGAAAATGAGCAGAAAGAGAGCCTCAATTTACAAACAAAAGCAAAAACAAAAAACCTGCTCAATATTGAGAATTAAGAGAAAAAAATAAGACCACCACTTTATGCTTTTTGTGTATCCAGCATTTCAGGACCATATATCAACTAACCATAGGTAGCAAGACAATTTCTTCTGAGTAAAGGTGATGAGATCCACTGAGAATATTTGCCAAGAGAGCAGAAGACAGGTTGCAGTTCTTCTCTAACAGCTCTTTGTGTGAACAACTGACTGTGAATCATTTCTCTGATTGTGAGATTCTTTCCCAAAAGAATCACTCTTGTGGGTTGGCAAATAGTCCTCTAAAAACCAGTAACAAGACAGGCAAACCCAGTGCCCTTTGGAGAACAAAACTCTTACAGGACACTTGCATAGTGAAGTAGGTCAGCACTGGTAATATGTCACCAGTCAAAGCAGATATTCAGAAGAGGAAAGAAAACACACCTCAAAGCAAGGAGAGTTGTTCTTACAATGTCTCCACTGAACTGATGCAGATACAAATAGTTCTCTTCCTTTTGTCTCCAAATCCGAAGAACCTGTTAATCTAGGCTACCATTGTTTTCCTTTCACAGTGCAATGTCATGAAAACATCCATTCCCTCCTGCCATTGCTTTTGGATTCTTTCTGTATTCGCCATACTTACCACCAACAAAACAAAATCTCTCAATCCTTGTAGGAAGACATCCCAAATTGAGCTCTGTTTCTAAATTGAAACTATCTAAATAGGTTCCTGTCTGAGGATCACTATGGAGATTTTCTTTTCAAGATTTCCTACTAATATTCTTGAATTATGTCTTAGTTCAAGCTAAATTTTTCAAGACTGGGAAGGTAGTTCAGTGGGCAAATGCACTTGCTGTGTGAACATTAAGACCTGAGTGAAAAATCCCCAGATCTCATGAAAAGCTGGTTCCATAGTGTGGATGTCTGTAATTCCAGGGCTCCTGCAGGGAGATGAGAGGAACAGGCAGAGTTCCTGGAAACTTCTGGGTCAACTAACCTATCTATAGCAGAGATATAACAGAGACCCTGAAAGTTGAAGGCAACGGACCACTCACCTTCAAACCCATCCACATGGGAACATGTGCACCTACAGTATCCACGTTTATAAACATCATTGCACAAACATGGCACAGTACAAATACATAGCAAAAATAAAAACCTCCCCAAATTTGTCAACTGTCCAATAACAGAATTCACAATTTTAAAAGCATAACAAAGAAAATGATAAGAAGTATTACAGAAATTACCTCATCTGATCCTTTCTTTTCTCCTGATCTCAAAGATGATCCAGTATTCTTTTCATTAACTTGCTAAAAATATAAAAGGAAAAATGATAATGTTTAACAGAGGAAAATGATATATGACAATTGCACCTTTAATTCAGAAAAGTTAATATATAAACAACAGCAAAACACAACAGAAAAACAAGCACCTCTTTCAAGTTCCCCTGGGGAATATTGGGAATTCTCCATTAGTCACAGGCTCTCAAAAATCAAAGGATCATATAGATATTCATTTAGGAGGCAGGTAATCAGTCCATAACTAACCATATGCAAAGCTGATGTAATGCCACTTTGTCATCTAATCCCCTATAAAGTACCTCATGGATTTCTAAAGCACAAATTGCCAGTAGGGGAGAGATTTGGCTCATCACTGAGATGTGACCTTTTAAGGACCATGCTGTGTGTGAAGCCATACTTAAGCACAAGTTCAGCATGGGCACAAGCAGATAGTATTTGATAAGGACAAATCAACAGGTATATTAGAAGAAAAACGAAATGGCCATGGTATAAGAACTCACTCATGGCAGGAATACTTTCTCCACTGTATTTTGTATGAATGACTTGAAGTGAATGCAAACTTTATCCCCTACAGAAGCACTTGCAGGGAAAAGTGATTTGAATATTCTGAAATGAGTCGTATTGAGATAGTTTGATGAAAAGAATTCCCTGCAAGGCTTATTATTGATATGTGTCCAAATAAAGGGTTTGTTTATCTAAAAGTGAGAGCAAGCAGTATTGAGTAACTGATGAATCTTTAAAAAAATATAAAACAAAACAAAGCAAACAACGGACCTAAAGGCCCATGTATAACCCAAGTGTGACAATGTGGACTTACTGGAGCCCAAGGTGGAAGGATCATTTGATCCCAGGAACTTGAAACCAGCCTAGGCAACATATTGTGATTGGGTCTCAATAAACAAACAAATAGATAAGTAAATAAGCAGGTCAAAAAGGCCATATGCAAACTAGAACTATATACCAAGCTATAGTTAGTGAACACAAAGGTAATACTAAGGGCTAGAGAATAATTTCCTCATATTATGAAGCCATTAGCTTGAGGTTAGCTCTATAGGTCATTCTTGCATATGCTCCAGAAACAGAAGCTGGATGCTGTATTTGTAATGGACTTTATAAAATACAGACACCTCAGATGGTTACAGACAGCCAAATAGATAACTGGCTACAAAACTAGAGGCCTCTTAGCAGATCAAAACCCGAATGTGGCAAAGGCCTATATGTAGCCAACTCAGTGATTTCTTTATCTGTGTTCAGCCTGTGAAAGCAACCACCCATTCCCCCCTACACACACACACACACACACACACACACACACACACACACCTCCTGCTAAAACCAGCGCTTTCAACTTCTATGCTTTAGTGATGCTCTATTTATGAAGTATAACATAGCTCAGAAAAACTCACTTAAATTTATTTTGTCTGAACTCTTTTCCCATCTCTAAAAGGGTCATTCAGTTTGAAGATAGTATTTGATCAGGTCAAATCTTCAAACACACAGATTTACCCAATCTGTTTCCTTACAGATCCAGCAACTTCAGAACCAGGGCAGCATACTCACTTGCTATTTGTAACCATATACCCTTTTCAGTATCAGTGAAGTAACAAGACCCAGGGTTTCTTTGTTCGAAATTTTGAGTGTTCATTTTCTCTCCAGGCAGCATGACATTCCATTTTACGGGTAGAAAAACATTCGTTGCTCTTTCCAGTCAAAGACTCCCTCATCATAGAACTTTACCCTGCTTCCTACTCATGGGGCAAATGTGAGCTATGGGCACTACCCACCAGCATGTCTGTTGATAGTAATTTTCCCACTGAAGTACAGTAATGCACATCATTTAAACACATTTTAAAAATTGTTTCCTTGGGTGCTTTAAAAGGTTTCTACTATAGTCCTGGACATTCAGTTTCTTCCACCGAGTCACACAAAATCCCCTAAAGTTTGTAGATTACCAACAATATTTCCAGAGAGTTACATGTAATGAATGCTTTTTAAAGTGCTGAATTACAATTTCAACTTTAAAATATACTATAAACACTGGCATTTTTTAATATCGAAAGGATCACAGTTTTAAACAAATAGAAAGGTTTTCATTAATAATAATAATTCACACCAATAAAAATCACTTATGATAAAGTCCCATCTGTTTATTGGTGTTTTGTCTGCATGTATGGGTGTGTAAGGGTGTCAGAAACCCTGGAACTGGAGTTGCAGACCCGTGTGAGCTGCTGAGAATTGAACCCCAGTCCTCTAGGTTAAGAGCAGTGCTCTTAACCACTGAGCAACCTCTCCAGACTGACAAGAAGTAAAAAACCCAAACCCTGTGTCAGACGTGATTGTTCTGCTGACAATCCCAGCCCACTAAAGAGGCTGAGGCACGAGGATTGTAGAAAACTGAGCCTGCCTGCACTGGAGAATAAGACCCTGTCTCAAAAGGGAGAAAAAAATCTAGGCCTGATGTCACTTAACTGTAATCCTAGCATTAAGGAGACTGAGGCAGGAGGATCTCCAGTTCTGGCCACTTTGGTGTACATAGCCAGAATTATTTAAAAGAAAACTGGCTTGATGTCGATGGCCTGTAACCCTGGCAATCAGGAAATAGAGGCAGGAGGACAGGGGAATCCATGGTTCAAGGTCACTCAGATATACAGTTTAAAGTCAACCTGCACTACAAACCACCTTCTAAAAGAATTAAAAACAAAACACGAGAGATGGTGCTGACTGAGGGGATGACTCAGTGGGTAACGCAGCTGCCAAGCAAGTGTGAGGCCAGAGTCCTGTTCCTCAAAAACTGAGGTGAATTCTGGGGAAGTACAGAGGACACTTATAATGCTAGCACTCAGGAGGAAGATGCCAGGCTCTCCAAGTTCAAGAGACCTTACCTCAAATTAAAGTGGAAAGCGACATATGTCTTTAATCCCAGCACTCAGGAGACAGGGGCAGGCAGATCTCTGTAAATTTGATGCCAGCCTGGTCTACAGAGTGAGTTCCTGATCTACACAGTCCACCAGTGCTCATTGTGAGTTCATGTTGGGGGTGAGGGATGGGGATGGGGGGTGGAGAACAAGGAAGACATCCACGCCCAGTTCTGAAGCTCTTTTTTACCTGACTTGTATGTAGAACTTCCTTGGATTTCTTTTGTTTGTTTGTTTTTTCAAGACAGGGCTATTGTGTAGCCTGGGCTGTCCTGGAACTCACTCTGTTGACCTGCCTGGCTTCGAACTTGGAGTTTTGGGTGCTAGGATCAAAGATGTGCATCACCACCACCCGACTACCTTCAGTTAATTTTATAATCTAGAATTTTATTAAAGTTTTTCAAACAAACATAAAAGTTTTAAGAATAATATCCTGATTTCCTGTATCCCCACCACTTAGATTCAGAAGCTAATTAATGTTGTTACTGTATGTCTTCATTGGGGTTACTATTGCTGTGATGAAACATCAGGAAAAAAAGCAACTTGGAGACGAAAGGGTTTATTTGGCTTACACTTCCACAGCACTGTTCATCATCAAAGGAAGGCAGGATAGGAACTTAAACAGGGCATCAACCTGGAGGCAGGAGTTGATGCAGAGGTCATGATGGGATCTTGCTCCTCATAGCTTGACTACCCTGCTTTCTTATAGAATCCAGGATTGTCAGCCCAGAGACAGCACCACTCCCAACTAAGAAAATGTCTTACAGGCTTGCTACAGGCTTACAGGCTTGCCGGATTCTACGGAGGTATTTTTTAAATTGAGGTCCCTTCCTCTCAGATGACATAAAAATCATCCAGTAAATTGTATTTTGCTATGTTTGCACACACCTGTGCACAGGATTATGATGTATACCGGTACACTGCAAAACTCTTGAAATTTAACACTAAACATTTCAAACCCTAGGCATTTTCTTAAATTTAGCACAGTTTCCAGTATAAACCCAATGCCATTATTATGCTAAGAACATTAGCAAGAACTTCCTAATGATATTTAATTTCTAGTAAACAGCAACTTCACAATCATTGCCCTCACAGGTTCTTGGGCTTTTTCTATATTTAGTACATATATATATATATATATATATATATATATATATCTATATATATATATATATATATATAGATACATATATATAGGTAATAATATCAAATCAGTTAAATGTTTTCACTGAAATTCAAGTACCTAAAGTACCTAACACTGAGAATAACTGACCACAATTCACTCAATTAAGTTGGTGAATAAAATATGTGGGGGCGATACACATCATATTTAATCCAGCTTAGGAACCTGCAATGAATCCTTCTAAAAGGTAAGAAAGAGAACTTAGTTTATCGCTACCACATGTGGCACAGAGGGGAGAAGCATGGGGCATAGAAGGAATAACAGTTTCCAAAAGCGAATGGACTATACTATTGATGGATCCTGAACAAGGGAAAAGAAAGGAGTGCCAATGCTAGGCCCTCCGCATTTGGTTCACTTTGCTCTCCATAATGACTCTAGGGACCACACACAATCTCCTCATGGATAAAGAGAGTTGATGCTCTGCTTTGCCAAGACAATGACTACAATCTGGTCAAAGCCTGGACCATATAGAATCAGGTACAACCTAGATAGGATTTTGTGATTTGCATCAAGTCTTTAGGGTAATCTACCACTCAAGAAAACAAAACAGCAGAGGAAAACAACTTCCAATTCAAAAACCATCTGTTATAAAGAATTAACCAACACTTAATACATAGGGATTAGAGGAAGAGTCAAAGCCAGTAAAGAGCTAGACAGGAAACCACACAGGGTTGAAAGACAGAGGTGGCCAATACTGTGGGAGTTTAGTGGCAGATGGGAGGGGTGGCAGATAAAGAGCTTTTCTGTCTTACATGAAGGAGGAATAATTCTCCAAATTCTATCTACCCCAGACACTGGCAGATATTTGTCAAGGACAGCTGTCCTGTGTCTTCATTCTAAGACATATATGTGCTTGAAATAGTTTTCCACAGCAAAGCCTTAACCCTATGAGGAAGTTAGGAGTCACAAGA